CTGGCTTTTATGGAATAAAAAATTTCTTAGCGCAAGAAGGACAGTGATTGTCATACCAGAAAATGTTCACACGAGTTCGGGTTGTGCAAAAAATGAAAGGCTTTCCCTTCCCTTTTTTTTTTTTCCAATTTGACTTTATAACATATAATTGACAGTTAATAATGACACGTTTACTGGCTGTGATAGAATATATATAAAATTTATAATACTGTTATAGAATAAAAAATTTCTTAGCGTTCTGTCACAATAAAATCTTCCATGTGATGAATGTATGGAATAATTGCAAATTTGGTTTAAATATTACTCATCAAAACGAGAAAGAACAAAGAATAAAGCAAAATTTAGTTATTCAAAACTATCAGCAAGGCGAAGATATTTTGGGACTAACTGTTCAATTTTATCCGTTGAAAGCCTTTTCCCTACGACAAGAGAATGCCCGTGGAAAAGAATTCCTGGTTTATTTCACGAAAAAAAAGAAGGTATCTAGCAGTGATATCATTTCCGATTCCGTGACTAAATCCAGAAAATGATTGTTGTTCGATATTGTTTCAAATTCAATTTGACATCTAAAATTTCAGCGAAGTCTTCCATTTCAGCAAATGTATTTTTAATAGTTGCCTGAACCTCTCAACATCTAAACTTTCAAGCATGCATTTTCAGTGGTAACTGAAATATGAAATTTTCATTTCTTAAACCTTCAGGATATGGTGGGAAGAAAAATTAGAAAAAACCAGAAATTAATTTTTCTTGTGAAGTTGGTTAATTATTGTGGGCATTCATAGAAATGGTTTTAAAAAAAATGTCCTGACCATTACCTCACTAATCACTTATTAGTTGCGCCTCAATGGCTTCTTGTTCACAAATCCCCAGCGGATTTCTTTATCTTTGACCGATCCAGGTGGATTGTTAAAAAAAAGAGATACTACTCTTCGCTTTATACATTTTAAGCAATATCAAGAGAGAAATTCATACATGTATGCTCATTTTTTGGCAAAACTTAATTAACAATCTACCCTTAATTAGCAATCTATGGATTTATTCTGAACTGTGGTTGGCAGGAAAAAACTGTTAACATTTAATGCTATTTTACATT